TAGAGAGCAGAGAGCCACGTGCGCCAAGGGGGCAGAATGGAAAAAGATAGCTAAGGTCATGGACAGATTCTTCATGTGGATTTTCTTTATCATGGTTTTCCTCATGAGCATCCTCATCATCGGTAAGGCACCATGACCAAACTGTGGTTCTACAGATTTTTTTTTAATTTGCATATTTGTACAGAAGGTCAATTGGGACTATTTTCCTTTTTATAAACAAATGGGACAATCAAACATATGTGAACTTTCCAGCTTTTCTTTATTAATCATCGAAAACAAATTTCAGCTTTCATTCATTGTTTTGTCCACATGCATTCAAGCCACTCTGCATTCCTTACCTTTAAAATATGTTTAACCTATTATGTCTTCAACACATAATGATTTCATGTACTGTACATAGTGATATAAGTTTTTTGATTGATCTAAAACTCAACAAAATGAGCCAGACCATGACACATACAGTATGTGCAGGCAATGCCAAATAACAGATCTATTGAAACCACAGTTCATAAATCACTGCTTTCAGTTTACTTCATCTCGTTAATACATTTGATTTTACTACTTTGTCAGCTATACAGTCTATAGCATCTCAATGTGTAGCTCGCTACAGCCTCCATCAATCATGCCTTTGATGTAGGAGTACTTCATCATTTGACCATTGAATACATGTGAGGGGATCAGCTGTCAAGTTAAAATATGACCAGTGGCGACAACACATGTCTTATTCACAACTGTGTAATCAGACGCCTGGGGCCGAGAGACGCAGCGTCAGTGCTAGCTCCTGATCGGCAGAATAATTTTTCTGTTCAAAATCATCCAGTGAATAGTTAATGAGCAAGCTTTGTTTGTAGCACTGCCAGGGCCGTCAGGATGTAAGGTAATATGGAGCATCAATTATGTAACACAATGTGCGCACTCTGACACCCCCGTTCTCCCGAAAGGCCCATCCCTTTAACTTTGAAAGTCAAGTGAATGTGTTTGTGTGTGTGTGCATGCCTGAACACTGGAAAGCCAAGTAGAAAAGGAAGAAATAAAAGAGGTAAGGGCAAAAGGAATGCAGGAAAAATGAAAAGCAATCAATAAGAGGTTGAATGCAAATAATTGTATTAATTTTCTGAACCTTGTATAATTGAAATTATTTGGATTTTTGCTGAACAATACAGTTACTCATACTACATTTTACATGGAGATAGTCTCCCAGAGTTCTCACCATAATAAATAGAAGAAGTATTATGGCAATTCTATAGTTTAATACTTCCTCAAAGCAATAACTGGTCTATCTCAGTTTCCTTAATAAATGTCGTAGTCTGTCTCAGTTCAGGGATGAAATTTAAATACACACTACAACACTCAAGCTGAATGCAGCGATGCATTATGTCAACTGGCACAATTAATGCCCACTGATAAGTTTTAATAACTTTGGACAACATTAGAGCCTTGGGCCAACACTTTGAAATAAACTTGCACTTTAGTAAAATTACACTGTAATATACTTATTTAGGCGTGTAAATGATGGCTGCTTCTTCTTCCGTATACATTTTCATAAGTTTTCATTATTCCTGCTAAGAACTGCAAATATGAAGAAAAATGAGTCGTATTCTTTAATTTCACATTACCTTAAGCTCACAGTAGAGGGCGCTCACTTCCCGCATACCGTTGTAGTGGTGGTGGATGCCCCAAAGCTTACTGTTTGAACCTGCATGTGGCAACAGAAGTGTACAAGATCTGCAGCTCAGAAGCATTCCCACTCATTTTTCATCTTCTGCAGAGACCCGCTCACATAACTTCACTACTGAGAGGAGGCAAAAAATATTTGGAGGGTATTCATTCCTCTCGTACTCTGGGGTAGAGTATGGCAAGTGGCTATAGCTCTGTGTCTCACTCATTTCCATTCTGTAACCAGTTCATTAATTTTAATTGACCTGGAGGCTAATAATTAAATTAATTTTCTAAGTAAAAATGTTTTAGCAGTAGGTGGGATAACTTTTGATTGTCCTGTGGGCTCTGTTCGACAGAATTTGATGGAGATGGTGAGATAGTGTTGTGTTTTTTCCCTCCACTTCTCCAAAGTGATTGTCATGGTGAAGCGGAGAGAGAGGTGAACCATGTAATCTGGGCAGGCTCAGCAGCTCAGGCACTCTGGGAAACAATGCTTGGGAAATTACCAAGAGCCTGGCGCAATTACACTTGAAAGCATTATTTATCTTTAGGTTCTTTTGTACAAAACAACAGAAGTACAAAAATGAGGATCACTGTGATACGGTTATTTCACCAGTGAAAAGTAACTGCTTTCATGCCATTTTGTACTACTTTGAGTCACTTTACAAAAGTCTTTATGCATCTAATGCATTTTAAAGACTGCACCATTTCTGTTTAATAGAGCCTTTCACAAATTACACACATAAATCCATCCATCCATCCATCGATTTTCTTTTACTTATCCATGTCAGGGTTGAGGAGGGAGCTGAAGCCTGTCACAGAGCGAGAGGCAGGGTACACCCTGTACCGGTCATTAGTCTTATCACAGGGCTCAGTAATGACATATAATAAATGTTAATCATTAATCTTTTATGTAAATTCATCGTTTACATCAAAGGAATTACAAAAGACCAAATGGCCCACAAATACAAATAGCAGTTTACATCCTGTATGGGCGACTTTTGGAAAAAAAGGAGGATACTTTTATTTATTGTATTTGTGTGTAGCAGGGAGGATCTGTTCTGGGTAAATTACAGTAATGTGTCTTAAAATGTTTAATAATTGTGAGGTGTTGTAAACTTGGACGTGCTCTCAGTAGATTCAGATTTAGTGTGTGATAGAAAAAAAATGGATTCTGTCATTGCATTTAAATACAATGGTCCTCTTGGTTATTGTCAGAGCTATAAAAATGAATGGTGTAGACTCCTGTCTTCTTTGAAGTATGGACAGCTCCCTGGATGACAAATGAATGGGCAGGGAGGGATGCTGAGGCTGAGGATCTCTGATGGATGTTCATGACCTCTGGCCACAGTGTTTGAACCGGAGTGCAGAGAAAGCGATCAGTTGAATTTAGACAATGCTGACATGTTACTTGTGACCCATCTGGTGCATTTTTGGGGCATTGTCAGCTGTTCATTTTTGTCAAAATACAGAATACTATACAAATCCTTCAAGACAGAATCTGTCTGGCACCCTTGTAGGTGGCCTATTTAAATTAAATGGAGGGATCCAAAACTTTAATGGTCACAGTAGATAAAAATGTCAAGCGCAGATTTACCATTCTAATGTAAAACAATTCAATAAATAAACCAATAAAATCTTTAAAGTTTGAGTGTGTTTGTTACAAAAAACCTGCATTTATTTGGCATACGATAAACAGTACTGTGCCAAAGTCTTCATTATTTCTTTATATATTGCAAATATAAACCCCTGCACAGGAATGTGCGGTGATTTAATTGAAACATGTATTCATAAATAGAATGCAGCATGTAAAAACTTGCTGCCATTCTAATGAGCTTGAAAATCCATAATTGGTATGAGCATCCTCATTCTCCAACACAGCCACAACTCTTTTTTGGCAAGCTTTCTTATCACTCCTTTAAGTAGTCTTTAGGAGTAGTTTTTCAGCCTTGAAGGACAATCAAAGCTCTTCTTTGGATGTTGGCTGCCTTTTGTTCTGTTCTCTGTCAGAATGATCCCAATAATGCTGAAGTCTGCACTCTGGGGAGACCAGTTCGTGACTGATGGTGTTCCTCTGTGTGTGTTTTCTATATGCTTTTTCTGCACCTGTAGTGCATTTAGGAACACTATCATGCTGAAAACACTGAGTCATTGGCAATCAGATTCTTTCCAGATGGTATTGCAATCAAATTTTGGAAAATCTGACAGTACCTTTCTGCATTAATAATTCCATTAATGTTGACAAGATCCCCAACACCAAACTCTGACAGAGCCTCTGAGTAGACACTGACTGTTTGTACCTTCTCCAGACTTCTTCCCTACATATTCATGATGATTTGTACCAAAACTTTGCAAATTTGCATCATCAATCCATAAGACCTGTTGCTGCTGATTTTCAGTCTAGTTCTTGTGTAATTTCGAGACAGTAACTCACCATTAAGATCATTCACTGGTGAGTTTTCAGAGAATGAAGACCAGATGCATCTTTCAGGTCCTGTTTCTTCTCTAGAATTTTTCCCTAATTCTTAAGGCCATGACTTTCAGGTAATGCTCATCTGCTGTAGATTTTTTTTTTTTTTTTTATGTCTGCCAGATCTTATTTTGTCCTCTATTTGTCCAGTTATTTTAAATTCTTTAAGCACACTGCATACCATGCCACTAATAGCTCTTTGGGAATTACCTTGTGTATGTAAATACTATTTTATGTTTCTCAAAGGTTTTGTGTTGGCATTTTTTGTAGATTTAACTAAACAAATGGGAACAAATTATGTGTTTTTTTTTTTTGATGAGCCGCTGGTAACAAAGTACCAAAAGATTTACTAAGTTGTCTGCTATGTGTAGACACAACACTTGATTTGAGTGTCTTTTTGTGCTTGAATGAGTCTGTGTTAAGTGGCGTAACAAACAAGCAGAAAGAACAGGACTGGACTGAACATGAACAGAAACGAAAAAGCAGTCAATATACAAAGAAAAACTTTGAAAAAACTAAAAAAAAAAAGGTCCACCTTATACAAAAGTATACAAAAAAAACATCATATGAGTTATTAAGTATTAAGACTTAAATGCAGGGCAGCACAGAGAGAAATTGAAGGTGGCAGAAAGTCCCCCCCCTCCCCAGGGGGCAAAGGAACCAAGGCTTTTTATTTACGCCACTGCTTTTATATTAACTTCCCTTGGATGAAACAACAGCTGCGTGCCATCTGCAAGCGATCTAATATTGTTAGCGGTTTTCTGACATAATGCCCTGTAAAAATTTAACAAGCCCATATGCTCCAGATAGATGGAGGGCATCCAGCGTTAAGGAGACTCTTGATCCGTGAAGAACGGGGCATTAAAATTAGCATGCTGTTGCCCTGGTGACGGAAGCAAGCTAACCCGAAGCTGCATCGTAAAGTTGACGTTTAGAAAGTTTGTTTGTAAGTGGAGACTCTGCGGTGTAGCATTTTTATAAATTACCCATTCAAGGCTGCCGGGGGGCTAGCAGTAAAACCCGAGGAAACCCCTGTTACTGCTTGGTAAGGGGTCAGGGTTTGTGTGTATGTGTGTGTGTAGCGGGGAGTTGGCAATTAAAACTTGCTGAGCAGCTAGCAGCAGCGCCACTACCGTTAAGCTACCTGCGCAGGAAAATACGGAGAATCTCGGATAACGGGAGGTCTTCTCACAAGGTAACGAATAACAACACGAATTTTTTCACCTCTGCTACTACAGAAAGTGAGGTCTGCTTTGTTAAATCACTGCTGTGGTAAATGGCGAAACAATCATAGCAATTGCACACGTGTTTTGAAAATTGGAAACGTAACGGTGAAACATGATGACAATTACTCCATATTCTTTATTGGTTCATTTAGGGTCATTTTATTGATAATCTAATCTGTAATATTTTTTTATTTAAACTGGTTAAAACATTTCTCTTTTTAAGGCTAACTGAAACTATTATAGGTATTTATATATTCTATACATTATTATTGTTACTTAAAAAACTAAAATAAATTAATAAATGTGTTTGTATTGGCTTACAAACTTTGCATTTGGAATTTAATGTTTCCTTCTTACACTGCAAAATGCCGTGTTTAACTATTAAATTCAACTAAACGTAATGTCATCAGGGAGAAAAGTTTTAATTGATACACTTGTGAGATCATGCCAATAAATCTTTAGTTTAATCATGTCTTTTATTCTGGCTGTATTGTGGCTTTTATTTACAGATATCCTGTTTCACTTAATTAACCATCATATGTACAAAATAAACTCACTTTTTTTTAAGTTAAAGTCGAGTCCATTATATTTATATTGCCCCAAATCAGAAAATCTCTGAGCTTCAAGTTTAAAAGAGTCCAGCTTTGCATAAAGACTTAAGACATAAGACTTAGACACAAATAGAAAAGGATTCTAATCTATTTTCTTATAATAACTAATATAACCATAGTCCAAGAGTGAGTATTTGAGTAGGGTAGGTAAGTCTAATTGCCTGAGGGTAAAAGCTCCTCAGAAATCTTTCTGTATTGGCCGCTGGTACACAGGAGTATCTTCCTGATGGGAGCATGATGTTTTTTATAGTGAAGAATAACTAAAATAAAAAAAATAAAATCAGGGGTGAAAAAGTCATTATAGTTAGTGTTAGCTTCTAAACATAACACCTTAAAATGAATCTCTGGAAGCAACTGGAAACTTGAATAAATCAGAAACAAAAGCAACTAAAAATAAATGCTAATTTTAAAAAAAAGAAACTATGATAACTCTGCACGGCATGCTTTCAGGTGTGCAAGAGAAAACCTGACCTTAGAAGATGGTGAAAAAAAAAAATGCCACAGGGCGTCACAGGTGCCCTTTCACAGACAAGACACAAAAGTCTGTTTCTCACATCGCAAGCAGCAAAGACCTGATCCAGCTGGATGATGAAGCTGAAAGTGACACCTCTGCAGCTCCTCCACAGCCCCACATAACCATTCAAAGCTGGCAGGGCTTCCCAGACAGAGTTTACCTGCTGGCATCAGTAATCTATCAGAATAACCATCTGGAAAAGCCCGCTGCACAACGGTTAGTGAGTTATGGCAAAGAAAGAGGACTCCGGTTACCTGAAGTCAAAGATGAGGAGATGCATCGTGCAGCTTATGAGATGGCCTTCAGCACACTAAAATGTAAGTTGGCAATTAACTGTTAGCTCAGGGTTATTTGTCGAACCTTTATTATTCCTTTTTTTGCCTTTCTCTGCCCGCCTGTCATATAAACATAAATCAACAACCTCATATGAGGAGCAGGCAAGTAGCTGCCTGATGTTTCCGTTCATAGTTTGTTTTTGCCTTGAGATGATCTTTCACAACACTACAGAAGGGAAAATGTCTTAATAAACATTACTTTCTAGCATCTGATTGTTAGAACCTGACTGGTATTAGATTGTAACGTGGCAGTCTAATTGAGATCATGGGATGAGTCGTTTAAGGGCCTGAAACAGTTAAAGTCTCATTTAACCATTAATAAAATAAGTCACTGTTTGCTGTGGGTGGATAATCAGTCTGTTACCTCAAGTGCAGCACAAAGCATACAATTTTTTTATGATTAAGAAACTGAGATTGTCCTTTGATATAGTATTAAAAGTCATAAAAATCAATAACAAAATACCAAGACTGCATCTTCTCTGGGCCTGTGAAGCTGTGTTGACCCTTGTTAAAAAACAAACAAACAACAAATCGACAGATTAAAGCGATTCCTAATTTTTGATTTATACCTCTTGGCAATGGTCCGTGGTTTGGGTAAATGTGAAGCGACATCAGGAAACGTTTTCATCAGCTCTCATTTTGAATCATTTCTCTTTCTAGAAATTGCAAGCAAAATTGATTTGATTTCTGGCAAACAAACAGCTTTGGGCAAGTTAATTGACAGGTAGAATTGCATATAGATAGACTGATGAAGGGCGAGTAGAAGAGGGGGAAAAAAATGCTCGAGTGGTCATGGGGGAATTCTGCGTCATGCTACAAATCAATTTGTCCCTTAATCTGTTTGCTGGGACTAGGGTGAGGTCTGGGTGACCGAAGTCACAGGGTGTGTAATCACCATGGCAATAATGCAGAGGAGGCGAGCCAACAGCCAGGGCAGGAAGCCGGCTGGAATCGATTTAACGTGTTTTCAGTGGACGCCGAGGTCAGGTTGCTAGAACGCCCTCATAGCCATGGATGATTTTTTTTTTCATCTTCTCGCTGTGTGTCCACTGAATCTGGATGAACGTCAGACATACATGTTAAACAGTTAATGCAGATCACCTCAAAAATATCCATCATCACCAGCTCCAGCACCTCATCTGAGTAACTTATATTAGATTTGTAGCTCTAGGTCATCATAGCCTGCTTGCATTACCAGGTGGAACTAGGAAGATTGCTAAGGATAATAGAAGAGAAACTAGCAAAATTTAAAGAAAGGAAGGGTGGCTCAAGACTTCTCCACAACACTCTACATTTTACTTGTTTTTTTAATCACTCCTTTCTTATTATTTTAAAGATAAATACTGTTATAAGTTTGGACTAGACAAGGCAAGATCATTTAAAGAAGCTGTGGAGCCTCACCTCCTTGTGTTGAGTACTTGAGATAGATCAAGTCATTTTTTACAGTAGGTGCGTATGTATATATGACTATTTTGTGTTGCAGAGACATTGCTAGTGACATACTTTAATCATGTATGTATTTTGGATTCGTGTTTGTATTTTTGTGACGTTTGCTGTGTAGATGAAGCGACACACCCTCGAAGCGTCTTAGTTTTTCTTCTTCCTCCTGCAAACGCGCCAGCTTTTCGTGCAGAATTTGATTTTCTCCTGACACGCAGCACTAGGATGCTGGGAGTCACAACAACACACATGCTTCTTGTAGGGCCATTCAATGACTGATGCAAAACTGAACAAAGGTCAGATGTTAACCTAAAGAAGAAGCGCTTCACCAGCGAAAAACACACAGAGCAAAATGTCAGTGAGTATGAACTGGTATTGATCTTTGTGATTATAACTCTTATCTGTTCTAAACAAAAGGTTCAGTGAGCTCCATGTCGGTGGCGGAAGACACAGACACTCCCTTTCGGGGTGTTGTGAGGAGTGTCGAGCAATGCTAAATGTTATGGGGTTGGTGTTGAGGTTGATCTTTACCCTGGTGTAGAATTGCCATTTCATAAACAAAAGACAAAGCTGTTGGGATTTTCTCCACATCTTCTCCTTCTCTCTCACTTCATTCTCACTCTTTTCTTCTTCTGTGCCGTCTTTTGTCTCTTAAAAAAAACAATTTTCCAGTGTAGCTCTGCTAGATCAGTGACCTAATGGCAGGTTATGTTTTTAAGGTTTCATATCTTATTCAGTGGTCATGCAGTGTGCTGTCATTGCTTGAGGAATACGCTCGTGTTAAGCTGTGTAAAGTAATTTTTGTGGGAATGTGGTAGAAATTCAGTTGACCTTGTCAGTAGCCATAAAAGCCCTCCCTCCTCCTCTTTTTGCCTCTTTCTACTGGCTGCTCCTCTGAGTATTTCTGTCTCATTGTCCACTGGCCAACTGGGCTGCCAGGCTGTCAAATGACCGAGGCTGCTCTTCTCTCTGTGCAATGAGAAAGGGCCACTCTGTGTGCTATGCTGGACTTGGAGTATGAGACAAAGAGAGAAAGATTTGTCTTTTATTTTTTTTGTCCTTGACCACAATCAGGGCAGTTATCACCACTATGCCTCAGCAAATATTAAATTGTCCAGGTGCATAATACGTAAGATAGATTGAGCATTTAGCCCAAAGGTGAATGTATAACTTACTGCAGGTACCTTCAATGGCTGTTCCAATGTTAGATTAATGTGCAATTGGGTGTACTGATGCAGAACACTGTGAGACAAAGACCTGGTGAAGAGGAAAAAGAGACGCCATTCAGGTCTGGCTCTTGTGCTGAGCATTTGTTTGACTACAGTCACCATCAGTCACTGCTCATTGTGTAACCCCTGGATGGAAGCCACACGACACATAACCTCAGTTCTGCATCCTACAGTGCCTCCTGCTGATTGAGGATGCGTCATAATTTATTCAATTTTTTTTTTGTTAGACTCATTTCAAGCGACTGTTGCTTGTCAGACTTAAAAGATTTTGCATTATCCCCCAGGTAAAAACCCAGCGTGGCGTCTGCTGTGCAAAGATGTTTCCTGTAAGTGGTTTATAGCAGAATTCCCTCTGTGTTTTGCTCAAATTGCAGTGTGTGATTTATAGCATGTTAAAGACCATGACCTCTGCAGAATCAGGCGTCATGGCCTCTTTAGAGATCTGTTTTGCAGTGTATACTGAGCGGTTATCTCTTAAGAGATTGTCTTTAAGGACTTCTGCGGTAATGGGGACAATTCTAAACCTTATTCACCTGCATCTGCAGTAAATTACACCACCGCTGATGTTGTAGAGTTCTGTTTCCTCAATTAAAGATAAGCTCTATCATGTGAAAACAGTTGTTTGTGTAGCCGCCTGTGTGTGTGTGTTTGTGTACCTGCATGCAGATGCTTGCCTTGCCTTACACTGTATAGGGGTGCCCAGTGTGAATTTGTGATGTTGTGATAATTTAACAGCAGTATGTGGTTTCCGTGGTGTCTCGGTGGACAGGGTCTGGTTTTAGATCCTATTTGCAGTCTTAGAGGTGTGTCTGTTAGGAATAGAAATCAACCAAAAGGCAAACCACCCTTGTGACAGACAAAATTTCAAAACTGTGGTTTCACACTTGAAGAAACACATGCATCTTATTGACAGCTTTCGCAGTTGTCTGTTTTTTCACTAGACGCACATTCATATTAGAGAAATTATCCTTTTGCCCCATTCACTCAGTGTGCAGAGAGCAAACGCTACCTGCAGAGAAACTTTGGAAGCAGCTGTTCTTTAATCCTAACATGATAGACGGGCAAGTGTTCCTGTGTCTCCATCTCATGCATATCGAAAAGGAGAGCCTGCTGTTCACAGATGGGAATGGTAAGGATAAGCCTGTTTGTTTTTATGTATATTTTAAGAGAAAGAATCCTGTTGGTTAGTGGGGCAGTTGCTGCTTTTATGATATGATACCGTGGATGTGGGGGTGGAAAACCACTATAAACCGAGGAAAGATATCTGATAGCGAGCTCTCACCTTTTAGCAGTTTAAAGTCAGCCCTTTCAGACTTCTGTTACCTTTTTTATAAAGAAGGTCAAGAAGAGTTTCCCTGGACTAAAATGACAGAATTAACTTATTGATTGCACCATAACGGTGTGCAAATAATTTTTATAGGACAGCAAAGTATAGATGAGCAGGTACCTCTGTAATACCCATAATCAGGATGGATTTTTTAAAATCCTTTCTTATTCCTGTTAAAAATTAAATATAATCAGAGATCGTGCAGTCAAAATGAGATGGCTCATTAAGGAATAATTACTATAAAAGCAAAAGTGAGCAAAAGTAGTGTTATGAAAAAAAATATATCCAAGGTCATAAATGTTCCCACACTACCTTGTGTTATCCTTGCCACGTTGGTAAAAACGTTCTAGGAGAATTAGACTAAAAATATCATAATGACGTGCATATGGTTAGATATACTTGGGATTATAAATTACTTGGTTACTTGAGGGTTAATTAATGGTGTGAATAAAATGGAAAATTGAATCATACTGGCACATACTAGCCTGGTATGAAAAACACGCTCGCGCTCTATGTTTGGCTTCACTAATTATGTCTCGATCTGACCTTTTCATTATTTTATATGTCATTGGTGTCATTATTCCTCCAATTAAATGGGCTCTCATAGCAAAGACACACTAAGTGAAAGAAAAGAACCAATTGAAGAATCAGATTAGGTCTAATTAAACACCAAATAAGCATTTAATCACGGGAAATTAAACCCCCGATCTAATTGAATTATCTTTTGAAATTAAATTGCCATCATTCGGGGTGCCTCTAGGAGCCTCTTTTGTTCTTTGTCTTCATCTCGTTTAGCTCTTTTTTTTGTGTGTTTTCATGTTTTTATCATTAGATGTGGATTCATTAATGGATAGGAGTAATTTCTTGTGCCTCCGTCTCCTCCTCCAAATGGAGGAGTCGGGATTGGTTTCGAGGGATAATTAGACATTAATATAAAAGATGCATTAATATGCATCGTCGTTACTCACTCCCAATTAGTTATTGAAATCTGTTATTACATTTCTATCCTTTTAACCTTGTTTTATTATTCCTGTGCAGATCAAGAACTGCTGGAGGACATGATGATTGACAGCTGCTGTTATCTTACTCAACCAATGGTAAATCATTTCATATAATTTGTCCGTAATTTCTCAGTTTACCTTGTTATCCCTCTGTGTATAGTTTTGCTTACCTTAGTGCTTCCACAAACACTCTCCAGTGTTCATGTCTTGCTGTTTACACTCCACATATTGTTTGTTCTATTCTCTCTGATCTTATAATCAGTAACAGTAATATTGATTTATTGCACTGACATGCTCCTCTCACCAACTCACAAAGCGCCTCGTTTTGTTCATATTCCCTCCTCCAATCAATGACAATGTCTCCCTTTGGAGTAAAAAACATCTAAACGTTACTATTTGGCAGAACATATCTGGCTGTGTATTATCCTTTATTACACCCCATTAATTAGCGATGAAATCAAAACAACCCAGGGGCAGTGAGTTTGTATGTACCATCTGAGTGTATTCTGCACAGTGTGTATGCTGCATCTGTCCTCTAACAAATTTTTATTTTGTTATGATGCTGTGTACTCGTAAAAGAAAGCTTTGTAGCACAGCCGTGAACCTACAGCCTTCTTAAATGAAGAGGTATCCTCTGGAGGAGGCTGGCATGTACTTTTGCCCTACTTTTAACACACCACATAAAAGATTCTGAGCAAAGAGGAGGGCTGCTTAAGCTGTTTTCTCCGACATTCTGGATGGTGATAAAACATGGGCAGAATACAGAGCGACTGCGTGGCTGGTGAAGCAGGTGAAAGAGACGCGAAATGAAAGCGAGAGGCGGTGAATGTGCAAACAGAAAACAGAGCTGTCATAGAGTTTACAGATCGAAGATAGCCAGTGTCTATTTTAGCGAGGGCCTAAGCATACCCGGGCACATTAATACACATGAATATATGTGTTTGCAGTGTAATCCCCACAGGCACACAGATGTACACTTGCATCGTAGCCTTGTGAAATATGGCCCTGGGTGAAATGAATGGCTCTCCCTACGGGATAGTGGCAGGTCGTTACTCTGCATTTCTCTAGCTAGACAATAAAGCCCAGACACAATGAGACAGTCTTTAGAGCTCACTCTCACCTTCTTTTACACTCCTGGCATCTATAAAGTTCAACCTTGGTAGAGAAATAGAGACGGGAGAAAGAGGTGAATGAGAGCGAATAGACTGCATGTAAAAAAGGGGGTACATGAGGGTATTGGATAGAAAAAAGAAAAAAAAAAGTAGAACGGAAAAATGAGGGTATACATAGGCTTTGAGCCTAAAGCACATTTGATCACAATGGAGGAGGAAAATGAAGCCTAAATCCCACGGAGGATGGAAGTAACCTGAATAAATTCTAGTCAGGAAGACAGAGAAGGTAGAAAGTGTTTGACATGACAGAGTTCCAATCCACGTGTAAAATGAGGCATATGAAACTTTAATCACAGCTAATGTAGTACATGCATTCGGGATATTTCATCTATAGTTTGTTCGGTTGTGTTATATCAGTAATACACTACTGAATTGAAATTAGCCCTGAAATTAAACAGAGTGAGATGAAGACAGTCTCAAGAGACTAGGATAAGAGTTGCTAAGCAGAGCTGACATGTTTACTGTTTCCCACCATGGGACTCTGTTTCCAGGCAAGCTTAGTGACTGGGAATTTTCCCACACCCAAGTGTTTAACCTTGGTAAAGGACAAGTGGAATTTGAGGTAATGAGGGAAGTCGAGTGAGCTAAAAAGCAAAGCGCCACAACCTGTCTCAGAAATCGACCTTTCAAAAAAAGAAAAGAAAAAAAGAAATTAAAGGCCTCTGTACCGAATAATAAGGACAACCTAATTCCTCCCCTAAAACAGAAACCTTTGTAGCGTTCTAACTTCTCTGCCCATTAGCCCAGTTGTGAGGATGTGGCAAGCTGTTTCTGCAATGGAGCACCATCTGCCACTAATGCGGCTGGTGCCCTCCCACCCTCAGGGGGAGAAAGGTGGGGTTAGAGAGAGGAAAGGACAGGGATATGGAAAGAAGTGGAGAGAGGAAGATAGTGAGTTTAAGGGAGAGCGATAATTGTAGGGGAGCGGTGGAAACATAACTCGGACTTCCTCCTAGTTTTAATTAAGTACCAAACGCTGGGTCATGGCAGGACATCCTTGAGCTACTGTGTGTGTGTCAATTGTGTAAATGAGAAACAGTTCAGTCACTGAATCAATACAGATAAATAGTATCAGTCCACAGTTCTCCTCATTATGTAGCCGAAATAGGGCCATTTAAAAACCACTGAACTACACCGATGCAGGTATAAATTCTGGACATGCAACATATGCTGACTTTTGAGCCGTTACCACTGAATAAAAACAAGGTTGTTCCTCAAGTTATTAAAATGAGAAATATTTCTATTTGGCCTCTGCTCTTGTTCTTGCTTTTAAATGAAACGTGGTGCCTTTTGCTCTTACACTCTAGCCAGACGAACAGATGAGCCTTGTTGCCGTCATGCTCTATGACTTCCAGAACAGGAAGTTCCTCCCTCGGGAATGCAAGGTGGACGAGATCGTACAGGAAGTTAGACATGTGGAGGACTACCTCCTCAGGTGAGGAAAAAAACAAACCAAAAGCACAAGAAAAGCTGAAATCACTGCGAGTGAAATTATTAAAAGACAAACACAATAAAACATGAGGAATTTTAGATGAAGTATTTAAAATCTACACAGCCTGGCTGGTATTGTCTTCATGTACATCTGCCTGTGTGTGGGTTTGTCATCACGTGTTTTCTGTATTTGTTCCGGGTTTTTTTTGTTTTGTTTTGTTTTTTTTAAAAATCTGTTTCATTGTCTTTAGAGAAATTTTGTAAAAGCAAACCCCAAAACAAATCATGATAGCTCTGCAACTGTGCAAAACACAGTGACAAAACTTTACAGAGATAAAAAAAAAAAGGTAAATTTGGCAGATGGAAGTAGTCCAACCCATGAGTACTGAGCAAGGGGAGTCAGAAGAAAGGAGGCCAAGAGCTCACTGGTTACCATTCACACATTCTTTTTTAATCTGTAATGTATTTGTAACTTTCCATGTAAGGTATCTGGTGGATAAACATAAAAAATGTTCAAAGTTCAAAGAGAAATCTGTCCTGTGTGCTGTCATCACAAGGATGCCCCTAGTGTTTTTTTTTTGTTGTTGTTTGTCTTGTGTGCAGGTTTAAAACCAAACTGGCTGCCTCTCTGGCCCGCTGCAGGATCAAACATGATCTCTTGTCCATTGAGTGTATCCTGCCAGAGAGTGTGAAGAAGAAGCAGCAGAGGTCGAGCAAACTTCCACTTTACGCATGGGTCAACACGCTGAAGAGCAGGTCAGCTGAGCATGCTGAGAGTACACGCTCACCTTCCCAAAAGCAGATAGCACGCACTTACACATTTACACCTGTACATAAACACAGACGTGCACTGTAAGCATACCCAGGATGTGTCCACACGCACCTGCATTTACACAGACCTTTAACTTTGGGTGCTATCCAGTGTTTTATGGGCCAGGTACCCGGCTGACATCCAATTAAATGCTCGCCCTACACACTGTGTGTGTGCGCGCTAATGTGTGTTCTTGCCTGGGCCTGACAGCCTGATTCAGTTAGGTGTAAATCCTGCTGCTGTAGACAGATTCAATCAGCAGCAACCCTCAGTGAGCTCTGGGACTGTAAAGGTCACCTGTTGGGACTAATGGTGTGTATGTACATGTGCACGTGTTTGTATGTGTATGTATGTATGTGTGTGTCTTAATGGCTTTTATAGCCCATATTACTATTAAAGACTCTTAAAAGGCCAAATAGCAACTCTGACACTCTAACACTATTATTATCGAATAATGAGAGATAATAATAATGAGAGGAGAGAGCCTTCCTCTTTCTGCTACCTGTGACCTTCGTCTTTTATCCCTTCTCTTGGGCTTCTGCTAATCTGCTCTCTCCTCTCTCTTCGCCTTATCGCTCCTCTCTTCTTTTACTTCCAGTCTTGATGAGATCCAGGGCGTCCTGAAGAGCGCAGGTTTCTCTCAGGTCAAATCGATTGGGCAGTTGGAGGGCCAGAGCTTCTGCCAGGATCCCCACTGTGGGGATATACTGGTCTTCCCTGCACAGCTGAAAGCTCAGCTGTACTCCACCAAGCTGCTCAGCGATCACAAACTCATCATCCAGGTACTAGGTGCACTGAGAGACGAGGTTTCTGACAACATCATTCTCCTCTCTGAAGACTCTAATATAGCTGTGGAATCTCTTTAGCTCCATCAGTCTTCTGTGATATTTATGATTTCACTTTGATAATGGACTTTCTCAAATTGATTGTAAGACTGAAATCGCTTATGCCAAGAAAGATTAGTTTGCCCAGATTCAAATATTTCACATCACTTCCACTCAGATGGCTGTGCTTCACTTTGAGCCATAAAGAATTATCCTGTTTGGGAGGATTGGACAGTTTAATCATTTAATTTCTGCTCCATAAAAGTCAAGCTGCCACATAAACTGTGAACAGTACACAGCACCACAACACAAGTAAATCAGATTTTTGTGGCCAGATTCAATCAAATATTCACTGCCTCTCCCTAATTAATCATCTCTCCTTTATATTTGTTCACTGACTCTCCATCACTCTTTCCATTTTCTGTTTTTCTGCTTTTTCTCCTCCTTTGTTTGCCTCATAGCATTGCTGCAACAAATGGCCTGTATTTATATAGCGCTTTTTACTAGTCCCTAAGGACCCCAAAGCGCTTTACACAACCAGTCATCCACCCATTCACACACTGGTGATGGCAGCTACATTGTAGCCACAGCCACCCTGGGGCGCACTAACAGAGGCGAGGCTGCCGGACACTGGCGCCACCCGGCCCTCTGACCACCACAAACTAATACTTCCACTCCCTGTGCCTGTAGGATAAGTCATGCAGCTTGGGCCCAAATGCTGTGTGCTCCCTGCTACACGAGGAAGGAGATGTTCTCATGGTGGGCTCCTTCTCCGGCCTCACTGTCTCCCACACTGCTGCCCTAATTGCAGAAAAGTATAAAGCCAACAGCATCAATTGGCCCAGCGTCTACGTTTGTGTCAACAACTGCACAGATGCTCAAAGGGAGGAGCTGGAGCTCACTGTCTCTGCAATGGGCTGCAACAGTAAGAGAAAACAGATGTATGTCCTTGAGTGGGCTGCCAGTATCGGTTTGTGTTTGTGTTGGAGACAAAAGAGGCGACAGAAGAAGATGGAACAAAAGAAAGCACCTGCCTGTTAACTGTCTTTGTCTTTAAATGAAGTGAAAACTTGATATAGACCAACAAAGACTGGGCGAGTTCTAGTGAGAAAAATGGATGTTGCTGTCAGCAAAAATCCTAGGGACTCATATAAACTCAGTGTACTTTAAACCAGGTTATTTTGCTGATAGTGGCTGCCACCTCAGCTAGTCATTAGAGAAATAAAAATGGGGAAGGAACAAAGTTGACATTTTTATGATTGCAAACGACGCCTTCAGGCACAGAATTTTTCTATAAAGAAATATAGTGGGACATCATAGATTTAAGCACGGAGAACATGTGCATGCCTGGTGCTGGTTATCATTATACTGTCTGTGTCTGGCGCTCAGATGTGAGACTGATACTGGAGGAATTCCAATCTTTGCACACCGGTGACAAGCGACTTCAAAGAGTGCGCGTTATCCTGTTGACCCCGAAGTGTTCTGTGTCTGCAGTTAGCAACCCAGTTGATTTCATACTACAAGAAAATGGAGGTAACGATTTAAGCACTGAGCCATACACTGTGGGCTTATTTACTATACTGATATAGACCTGGGAACATACAGTTGGTTAATGTGCACAAAACAAGATGTTGTTCACACTGGATATACTGTAGGATGTGATATATCAAGCTTACATTGTTTAAATGCAAATTATTGCTATTGCAATTCCTGTGCAGTTGTTGCAGTTGCATTCATAAAAATTAAAAAACAAAAGCATGTCCTTAATGTTTTTATGCAACAGCTTCTAGTGAAAAAGCTCCAAACTAGCCTTAATATTAAAAATTGAACATTTTCACCCTGAACAAATATCTGATGGAAGTCATTCTTTGTGGCATAACAACGAGCGGATAACATACTTACTTAAAGATGCTTTTATACCCACTCAAAGACAACAGTTAATAAAGTAAAGATTATTCTCTTCTGAAGCTCCTCTTTGTTTTTTCAGACACAGACCTGCTGCAGGACCTGTCCCAAGGCTCCATAGCCCAAAGCAAACTGGAATCCCTGGTAGCACAGCAGAGGAAGGATATTGATCATGCCTTGATGTGTGAGCGTACAACCACCCGCTCTCGTGCGCGCACCACATAATCTGAGTTTCAAGCATGCAGCCTCTCTGACACGATGTTGCTTACACTTCCTAATTATCTAATCTCCTATGCCATTAGGCTGAAGTCTGTGGTGTTCCTTGGAGATTCTCTGAGTTTTAATTAAGGACCCTAATGTTACACTGTGCTGGTCATTCGCTGTCTTCTGCAGCAGTCTTTACATATTTCAAAGTGTTTCGGTGTCCCGCTTTGTGTTGTATAAATTGTCTGGAGGTGATCGTGATAGAAGTATTCTGTTTTATGCCGATGCTACTCTTTTAATCTGCTGTCAGTGTGTTTTTGCTCAGATGTATTCTACTGTATATATTTATATGCTGCATTTTCCTCTGTTCAGCAGATCTGTATCAGCGAGTTATGCTCATTAGCTTCAATCCATCTTGTTTTGTTCAGGGGATCCTTCTGTCTCTGCTCTGGGATGTGTTCATTGAGCAGGTGGAGTCTGTAGGTTGGGGGAAATGTAAACTAGCTTCTCTAATTAAGCAGCTATTGATCAGCCCTTGTCTGTGGTTTTGCCAGTGTAGATGCTTTCTAATAGGACTAGTAATTAATGGCGGGTATGTATCGAATGCCGTGGTTCAGTTGTGTCGATGGTCTCATTTCAGTGTCTCACACACACAGACACACACACCTCCAAAGCCTTTTGTGTCTGTTGTGAAGCATCTAATTGCAGGACATTTGAATGACATTTTGGCCTGGTTCTAATCTTTTTGTCTCTGTTTCGCCTCTCTCCAACTTATATTTCACATTTGATTGGAGCCGATTTGCCACATCTGAGCAGGTTTGCTTCTTTGTCAGCCGAGTGTTAATTATTTCTGTCTGGCAATAATTAGCGAGCAAGAAAGATATCAAAGCTCAAATGAAGGGAGTCAGACTGCCAGCAGCCAAACAAATCTTCAAGCCAGTCGCAGTTAAATAAAATGAGCAATGTACATGCATAAGCAGCGCGAAGAAATTACTATTCAAGAGCATATTTCTTCAAAGCGAGCAGTTGATGAGGAGGACGGCTCAGCTTGAATAATCAAATGTAATTGTTGTAAATAGGGATGAAGGGACGCTTTTTAACTAAATGTGTGTGTTTTTGTGTATAGTCCCCAAAGTTTTGGCAGTAGTGTACTCCACGTGCTCGTCATACCCAGAGGAAAATGCGGACGTGGTTAGAAAAGCATTGGAGCAAGCCCAGGCCCGTGCAGACCAGGAGGGGGAACCAAAACAAGCAAAGTTCAGGTCAGCCTCACTCTCTGCACCCCGGTGTGCTTTCTGCTTCTGTCTCCATCATTGCCTTTCTTTGTCTGTTTGCATTGCTGTCTGTCTGTCAGCTTTGCAAGTTGTTTGTCTGCTTACCTTTAGACAGGCTTCTGTCAAAGCCTCAGCACACCTCAGACAGGAACAGAAGGAAATTCGGTGAAAATATAATCAAAGGTGCTATTTCATGTCTTTAAATGCTGCGTAAAGGCCACGGAAGAAACGATTTTCAGTCAGCTCGCCTTCCTGCTTTTTTTTTTTCCAGGATTCATTTCTTTGTTTGTGGGGGTTAAGAGTTAAAGTCTGGTTGAAGTTTTTCAATCCTGTTGACTTGAATGCATCAAGGCTGAATCCGCTCTGCAGCAAGCTGGCCTGGTGTGCTGGCAGTGCCTTAGGCTAGCGTAAATAAAACAAAGGTAGTATTTCTGGTAGGGATCATACTGGTTTTACCCAGACATCTACTCCTGTGTGCGATGTTTGTGGATTTCAAATAACAAAGTAATAAAAAATTATAATTATAAAATGTTTATGTCAGTAATCAGAAAAAAAATATATATTCAGCTATTATTCCAATGTGTTTTCTTAACGTCACTGGTTATGTTTTTTAAACTGTATTTTCCTGTTTTGCTGTGTATGTGTGTGTGTTTCATTCAGGCCAAGCCCTTCCCCTTTCATGTCCTCTGAGTATCCAAAGGCCATGGATGAAACAGACAGTTTCTTCATGCTGGAGCCAACAGAGCACACCAATGGTTCCTTTCTGGCTGTTCTTACCAGAGTGGTAAGCATCACTTTAGCAGATGAGCAAAGGAATTCTCTAATAAGCCACAATATACGCACCCTTGTTAGTAACTACATTACTTAACCTGAGAATATACTGATGTACAACAGGACCTCAGTTTTAATAATGGTGTTAAGGAGAGTTGTGACCACACAAAATTAATGTACATGTACACAGAAAACACTTTTCATCACAGAGCAGTGCAGCTCCTATTGCTCCTTCATGAAGCCAGTATGAAATCTTACTAAGCTGCTGTTTCCTTGTTGATGTCTGAGTGCTGCAACCACACTGTAAAAAGCCGCATCTGTCTTCGCATGCAGAGTCAACACTTTGTAATGTTAGCTACATTTTGCTTCTTACATGGGATCAGTGATAACTAAGCTCTGTGAAAATGAAATTCCTCCAGGCCACTGCTGCTGCTACTTTTAGGCAGTGCAGCAAAAGAGATAAGTACAGGCAAATTTAGCTCATTTACAGTACTGTGTAAATGTCTCGAGTGACCCGTCGTGTCTTTATATTTTGTTTCCAAGGAGTCAAACTTTTTTGAGGAGTAAATCTGGCAGCTTAATGGTTTTTGGTTCAAATCAATGACCATAGAAGGTCAGGAGGCTCTGTCACAATTTGGGGCTGCATTTCACCCGGTGGTGTTGGGGATCTTGTCAAAATTGATGTAAGTATTAATACAGTAAAGTAAAGTCAGATTTCGATCCACTATGCAATACCATATTGAAAGAATCTGATTGGCAACAGCTTCATTTCTCAGCAAACACACACATTTTAACAGGGAAGGGAAGAAAAGTCACCAACATCCAAAGAAACGCTTTGGATGTCTTTCAAGAAGCCTGAGAACTATACCTTAAGTCTACCTAAAGAAATTAAAGAAAGCTGCCTAAAAGAGCTCAGACTGAAAGAATGAAGGTGGTAAATTGACTGGTTCTTATGTAGTGCTTTTCTGCTCTAACTGAGCACTCAAAGCACATTATTCCAACATTCCACAATCACCCATTCACACAAGCACTTTTTTTTCTATGCTTAAGCAACTTGGTGTTAGTGTAGTGTCTTGCCCAAGGATATTTGGCATGTTGACTGGAGCAGGCAGGGATTGAACTGCCAACCATTTGATTAGTAGTACTGCTCTGCCTCCTGTGCTACAGCTACCCCAATTATTGGCTCTGAAGTGCGTTAAAAAAACATCTATTTTTGCCTTATATACTCTATTTTCTTTGTACATGTTTCAATTACTTACTGCAGCCTTTTCTAATTTTACTAGCAAACCATAAAGAAACAAGGAATGGCTCGAGACTTTTGCACAGCACCGTTAAAATGATAAACTGTTTAAAAATAAAAGCATTCTGCATTCACAGATGAATCAATAATGATAAAAGGAGATGCATGGTGTGGTAAATGTCACTCTGCCATTTATGACTGTCTCAGTATCCTGTAATGGACTTTAAATGTCTAAGTATTAACACATACTTGGCTGTATTCCCAATACGCCACTAAAACACACAGATGAATGTTTTCTCATTCAGGGTTAATATAAGAAACAGTAGAGAAATGGGAACAGTAAAAAGAGGAAATTATAGTTTCCTACAATCTCTACACATATTTCTCATTTTCCTAGCAAACTATAGAGACATGAAGGGTGTCTCAATACTTTTGCACAATACTGTAGCATCCGTCACTGGCAAGCTGTCTGGTTTCAAGTGACAGATAAGTTCCATCATTAGTCCTGGACCTGACTGTGTGCCTCGCCGGTATGATACTAGGGTGTCATGCTGCTGACTTTTGTAAGACCCGCTGACAGTTTATTCAGCCTTCAAAATGAAAATGCTGTGTACCGACAGAGGTTGTGTGTGTGTGTATGGTTTTCACAAGCACAGACAGAATAGATTGGGTGATCCTTTATTTATGTCTGCAGAGAAAATATCTTGTTCCTCTTCCCCTGAGTCAGTCGGCTCTCTCATAGATAAACACAGACAACGGTGAAATAAGTTTAATTGGCGAAGCTTATTAGTGTGGGGAATTGTGATGAAGTAGATACACTGAGCTGGCTGCAGTCTGTCAAAAACAAGCAACTACCGGGAAACTGAAGCATGAACCATTTGAGTTGTTATGATATTTGGAGAGAAGGCAGGCGGTGCACAGGGACAAAGCAGCAGAAGCTGAGATTGGGTGAAAAGGAGGATCACAGTGTGTGACGGGCACTTGGTGAGACCCTTGAGCAAAGGGAAAAAGAACGGGTGGAAGGAGGTCACGGTGCTAGAGGAAATGAGAATGTTGGGTCACAGATGCAGGCGTCTTTTCCTGGTTTACTTGGCATCTAGACCGAAGGTGTGACACGTAGGTGAAGAAAGAGAACATTGCCGAAACACAAACGCGTAAGTCTGAACATGAGAGGCCAAAGTCAGTTTGAGAGCAAGTTGTTAAGAGTCAAATCTTGGGTTTTGCAGCCCAGAGGAGAAGAAAAAAAGGGCAGAGAGAGGGATTTAGTTTTGTTGCTGTAATGTGTTTGAGAGCAAGCTTTGATAATTTTGGGACTTTTCTGTGAACACTGGTAATTGGGATGCACTCTGTCTCTCTCCAATTCTTTTGTGGTTTCTAGTCACAGGCTTTGATTGCTTAATAAAGACTCTCCCTCAAACGCATCTGCTCTCCAATCCACTTTAATTTTCTTCTCTTTGCCTGTTCTCCCTGTCTTCCTCGCCCTCGTTTATTTGTGTAGGTGTCTCTTTAGAGAGAGTCTGTCCAAACTGGCTGCAGGTGCGCTGTGTTGCACTGGATCTTCAGGGTTGTTTTGGTAAAGGTGCATCAGCAATTCTCATCAAGTGTTTGTGACCGTTCTTCCCCACATCCTCATAATTCACAATATAGACCACCCCTCCCCATTACCGCCACAACATTATGAAATCTGCTTTCATGCTTTTGATGCCAGCGTGAGGTTATTAAGCCATCTTACCCCCACCGGGTGTGACGGAGCTCTCCCGCACCGTTTCCCTCTGACCATCCATCATGTTTTATACCTCCACAGATAGGAATGAAAAGATAATCAAAGTGCTGTAATGGTGCCTCAAACATGATTTTTTTCTCTCCATACCTGCAATAAACTCAGCTAATCAAAAGTTATTGTGGCACACTGAAAAGCGTCATAAAAATAGCAATTATATAAGTGTTTGAATGCTGTCTGGCATATATTGCCTGTTGTAGTGGTGCCCACTGAAGTTCTTTATGAGCGGGAACAGCTGGGGACAATAAAGATATTCAAGTGATGCGTTTCTGGCCTAATTTCCCGAGAAAGCGACGCACATCACAGGTGGACCTTTATCTAAAAAAACAAAGTGCTGCTGCTGACGGATTAATTTGGACAGTATTAATGGGAGATCCAATGCCCTCCAACATTGTCTTTATTTTCTTTTTTGTTCATACATTTGGAAGCTGTTGACGAGATTCATTTCGGACGTAAATGTTAACAAAAGAGTGAGTTCAAATCCAGGAACTGCTGTGGCAGCTGAGTTTGGCAGAGAGTAGACGGAAGCGAGAGATTTACAGAGTATGGCGTAGTTGGTTAGTGGAGATGGAGTAAGTGAGATTTACAGAGGTGAAGGGGAAGAAAAGGAGGCGAGGGAGAGAATCTGTTGAATAATTCAGCGCCCCCTCCGTCTGTATGAGTTAACGTCAGTGAAGTTCAGGGCGTCCACCAAAGACTGCATTACTGAGGTGCTTCTAAAACCATGTTTACCTGCCTAGAGTGCATCGAAGCACACGGCGTCACACAGGTGCAAGATTCCCACCTTGACACAGTGTGCATGCACACATACAGAGAAATGATGTAGACTTATGGACGGCTTGTACAAACGCCTAAATGCATTTGCATTAAAGCACAGGCAAACGCTCAAAAACTAAATACACACAGGGCTGCATGTCCCTGTAGTGTGCACTGTGCTTGTGAATAATTCAGGCATTGAGGAGAGCAGTGGGCTGCTGCTGAGACAGCAGGTGACCCTGCAGCCAGCAGCAAGGACATGGTGGCTTCCTTTCCTTTCTCCCTTTTCTCTCCCCTCATCTCCAAAAATTTGTTTTTTGAATAAACATTAAATACAGTTAAAATGTACCATTCAGTGCACTTCCCCTTCCATGCTAATCACTTAAAAGAACAATGTCCATTAACAAATTTTCATGAAACGCTGCATTTTTCATGTCCCTATTCTTTTTTTCAATTCTCTAAAGCCTGAGCCAGTAGTCAAAGAGGCGCCAGACGAGGTAATCGCCAGGGCAAATGCAAAAGGCATACTGGACAAACTGGGCTCCAACCACCTTACTAGAAAAGAACACCACGAAAACGGCAGCAGGATGAAAAAAGCAGCCAGTGTTCGCGCTTCCCAGTCCCAGCTCTCTGTCAGCATTCAGCTCAAGCATCATCAGACCAAGAGGAGTGACAGCGCTGTGCTCTGTGGACATCAGGATTTTACTAACATGAAGCAGTCTTCACAAGGTGGGTGTGCACCCAACAGTCAAATAACTCAAGTCAGCTGAATGTGCAGTGGAGAGAAAAGACAGATATCACTCTCATTTGCCCATTAAAACTAAGCTAATGACATCTAAGTTGGAATAAAATGTGGAAATGAGGGCAGAGCTTGCCTACATCTCTAAAAAAGAAAATAAATAGGCTGTGGATAATTAAGTGTCACTGATTGGTTGCATCATCTATATTTAGTAATTTTTTTTCAAGCTGGGATTTATAGATGTTGTGTACCAGTAGTAATGTTTAGTTTGGTTGGAAGGAGTTCAGCCTTTTCTCCTTAGCCTCCTACACTTTATTTCAAAATGATAAATTCCTTTTTTGTCCCATCTTATTGTTTTTATCCTTTAGAAAAACCCAAATCACTGCGCTTGCAAGCCACAAAGGGCACCACATCAAGCTCGTTCTCTTACTCCAGACCAGAATGCAACAGCTCCTCCTGTTCCTCCTCCAAACTAGAAAAAAGCAGCTTACACACTGCTCCTGTCACCACCACTCTGCGTTATTCTTCTTCTTCTGCCGCTCCTGCGGTCCCAGCGGCCCGCTCACGTGGACCTCAAAAGGAGGTGCTGAAACCTGTGCTCTTCGTCCTGCCTCCCGTTCACTTCCCCAACTTTTTTCCACCCCAGCACAGCCGATTCAGATTCAGCCCCAGCCTCAGCTGCAAGTGGGCTGACACAAACACAAAGAAGAGCATAAAGAAGAGCTAGCCTTTGTATCAAACGTCTAATGAAATAAAGCTAGCAGTGCCTAAAAACCTGCACGGGAAGTTCTGCGTTGTTAATGAACTGCTTCATGACACACAGCATGTGAATGTTGTCTAACCCTAAACTTTATTACTTATCGTAATGTCAGTGTAATTGTGTGCCATAAAGAACAACCTTGCCACAGTCAAGTCCAGTCAGACTGTATATATCTATATTGCTGTGCCGTGTCCTTTCAATGTCAGTACATGATGAAGGCCTATATTTCTGCACTTCTACTGACCTGAACAATTAAAAAGGACATTTTTTTTTTCTTTTGGTAATGCATTTATTGTCACAACAGCTTACATTTACATGGTGTGGAGATGGGTGAAGAGCAGAAATGAAATGATTTATAGCATCTCTCTAGTTTGTTTAGTGTGGTTTTCATTTAGATCAGACTGCATTCACAGAGTTCACACTGAGTGCAGGTGGTGGCCCCGGGCCAAAGGAGCGCCGTTAAAAACTTTTGACAGCAGTGACAGCTGACACTCTCTCTCTCTCTCTTTTTTTTTTTTTTACTGCTATGAGTGCATATTTGTGTGTGTGAATATTTGTTTGTGAGTGGGAGGACACTGGCTGGATTTACTGAATTTCTCCTCAGCTTATGGCACAAATCTGATCTTTTTTGGTGTCCAGCAACATGAACACGCTTCACATCTGCCAAGTCGAGCGGAGTTTCTTGCTTCTACGTACATTTTAGGTATATGTGGTAAAGTTTCCTGAGGAATTTAAGTTGAAAAGAAGCAATGTTACATTCCTTTTCGATAATGTATGCAGGAAAAAAACTACAATCTTAACTGATTTTTAGCACATTGAAAACTTTCTTTTGCTGATGGACCCATTCGTTAAAACTCATTAAAATACAATCCTTATTTGTGTGTTGTAAATTAGGCAGAAAGCAAGCTTTTAATTATGTTTGGTAAAAGGCCGGATTATTTTTATTATTTTCTTTTTGTGCCAGTGTGTAAATCCAGTTATGGTCAAGTGGAAATGAATTGTGCTGATAGCATCTATTTTTCTTTTTTTTTGGTCTTCCCAAATCATCAAGATAAAACAAACCCCATCAAGAAAACATGCAAAATCAAACTCCGCTTCTGTCTCATTATTTTAGTCACCAAAATCTTATGTCACTCTAATATCCACAAGCTTTATACCCTAAATTGTCTCTTCCCCCATACAATCATTTACATATGCTCGATTATTACAATCACTTCATTCGTCGTTAAAGGAGATGGTAAGTTTTTGCCTTTTTCTTTCTTTTTTTTTTTTTTGGAAGTTTCTCATTCATCGAAACTATTGAAACATTTTTATGCCATTTGGTGGGCAGCTGCCAGCTGCAGGATCTTGGTGCTTTTCTCATTCATCTGTCAGATATCCGTGACCACAGTCCTGGGAGGCTACAGCAGCTCATCCAGTTGAGTTCAGAAGGAGACAGAAGTGGAAAGAAAAATCGGCGAGGGCTTCCGTTACTAGTCTGTAAATAGAAATGTGATTTTTGTTTTCATCTTCTCGGTAATCCCGTATCCTGTCTGTATGATGCGCGATCGAGTAATCCATCTGTCTCAGAAATCCACATACAGGAGGAATTATGTTCCACGTGGACAAAGTAGCGTCAAAGTTCAACAGTTGACGCCAGCTTTTCCCTTCTTTCACACAAAACAGGTGAATTTTCTTTTTTCTTTTTTTTTTTAAATCGTCAGGCATTTTCAAGAATGGTTTTTCTTTCCTTTAATCTGTGTTGATGTTTGTTATACTGTATGTACATCGTTGGTTACCATGGCTGGTACTGATTAAGTGCTATTGTGGCGAAAGTGTGAGTGGCTTCCAGGCTGGGGAGGGGTGCAGTGGTCAGAGGTGACGGTCATTGCTGGGGGAGTTCTGATGGCTGTTTCTTGGGTTTCAGAGTGTCTATGAGAGACTGGACGCCGCGTTTCACGCTAGTGGTCACCCGCCGGGTCACTGAGTCTGCGGACGGCGAGGAGGAAGAGCCAGCACGCTGGGAGGGCGGCCGTGCTACCAGGCACTTCTGGTACCGAAGCTGAGAAGGAGAAGGGAAAGGTTTTTGTGAGTAAGTGTTGGAAATATTCCAACCAATGTCAAAAGTGCTAAACAAAGAAGAAAAAAAATGTGAAACTAGCTGCAATAAAATCCAACACATACACTTTTACACTTCAGTTTTAGTGCTTACCACACAAGCTGCCTGGACAGCCTCGGATACACTGCCTGCATTGGGTTCACACCAGAACACGTGACACTGGAAATGCTGGCTTCCAGTGTCCATAATGAAGGCAAATGAATGAATATCCCGTCCCACGCCCATGAAGGACAGAAAACGGACACGACACTCCACCAGTGCCTCCTCTTCCTCCTCCTGCGCAGTCATGAAAGAGGACAGTTAGACTTTGCTCTCTGCCTGACAAGTACATTCACAACAAATATTCCCTCGCCTTTTCTTTGATGACTGCCACCGTGGTATCAGCGATGCTCAGTATGACAGGAGTCCAGTCCTCTTTGCCTGTAGAGGACACGAGGCTGTCTATGGCGCCATTTATGATGTCCATACCTGGTGACATAACACAGGAGAGTCTCAGTTCAGGATCTAAGAATCTACTACACGAGGTCTTCCAGTGTGGGTTTGAGTTTACCTATAGGTCGAGACACAGACGTCATCCCCAGATAGTGCACATGAAACTTTTGCACCAACTCGGTCTTTGGCATGGGAAACTCTGCAGAGAGAAACACAAATTTTAACATTCACACACACACACAGATTGCCCCCAAGAGATTTAATCACATGACAACATCTAAAGCAAATTTTCAAAAGAGTAGTCCACACATGATAATTGGCTTAAAGTGCAGAAATAAACAAACACTGCTGAATATTTTAATATACTGGGGCACTGTTCACATGATTAGAGCACAAAAAACACAGAAGCATGTAAGCTTAAGAGAGCTGGAGTGGTTTCCCTATGAAAACACAGCTTTGCCTGCTTATATGATCGCCTTTAGGCAGAAAATAGTGTTGTACGCAATGTTGTTGTATCACCTGCATCTCAGTTGGCACAAATGTTTGCATCATCTATCTAATAATGTGTGTAATTAGCTTTAAAAGTTATGGAAAACTCTTTGACTGTCAGGGGTTTAAATTTGTACACACAGAGGCTTTAATGTGCAGTACTGTACAAAAGTCTTGAGACATCCCTCATTCCTTTATATTTTGCCAGGAAAAAGGAAAATATTTGAAAACATACATGAAAATACAGTATAACAGGCAAAAACAGACTCTGTACAATACTAACTGGCTTAAAAGTCAATATTTGGTAAGAGCACCTTTATATTTCTACACAGTCTGAATTCTCTTTGGGAAGATTCCTTCTAATTTCTGTAAGTAGTCTTCAGAAATAGTTATCCAGGTTATCCTGCCTTTTTAAAGCAGCGGTCCCCAACCTTTTTTGCGCCATGGACCGGTTTATGCCCGACAATATTTTCACGGACCGGCCTTTAAGGTGTCGCGGATAAATACAACAAAATAAAACCAGTACCGGTACCGAAAAAAAGAAGATTTATTCAGAACACACGTGAAAAGACCCAGGAAAACAGAGATAACAAAATAACACTGAAAACCAATAAAAACCCTGAAAACCATACATTTCACACCTGAGCCTCAACTCTCGCGGCCCGGTACCAAACGACTCACGGACCGGTACTGGTCCGAGGCCCGGGGGTTGGGGACTGCTGTTTTAAAGGACATTCAAAGCTCTTCTTAGGATTTTGGCTGCCTTTTGTTCTGTTCTCTATCAAGGTGCTCCCACACTGATGATCTGGGGAAGCAACTCCATGACTGATAATGCTGCATTGTGTGTTTTCCAGTTATGCCTTTACTGCAATGATAGTGTGCTTTTATCATTATCGTGCTAAAAAAAATTATGCCATTGTCAGAGACTTTCCACATAGTATTGCATGATCAATAATCTGACAATACTACTCATACGTTCAGAATTGCATCAGATCTCCAAGAGGAGCTCCAATATTAATGGATAAAATAGCCTGCATTGTGTTTTACACAGTCCTGTGTCATGTCTTTGTTAGATATTTCGCTTAATGAGATGATTTTCACGTACACGTCACTTCTTTTTTTGTTCTCCACTTGTCCAGTTTCCTCTATTTTAAGGAGATGCTGCATATCATGCAAAGATATGCAAAGTTTTCAGCTAATAGCTCTTTGGGAATCATGTTGGTGCAAACGTACTATTTTATGCCTGTCAAACCATATTATTTTTGGCATTTTTCACAGATTCAACTCAAGAAATGGGAAGAAATGATGTGTGAATTTAATTTGCTTCTCACATAAAAATTCTTGCATAATCAGGCCCCATCTTATCTTAAAGACCTCATCAGCATATCACCCCAATAGAGCACTTCACTCTTAGCCTGCAGGCTTACTTGTGGTTCCTAGAGTATTTAAATGTAGAATGGGAGGCAGACCCTTCAGCTTTCATGCCCCTCTTCTGTGGAACCAGCTTCCAGTTTGGATT